TCGACTGGGATCGAGTGTCAGTGGTACGCCTGCCTCCTGCGTCCCCCGCGAGCACTCGGCTCGGGGCCTGCCCTGCCAGAGCAGGGGGTCAGAGAGCTGACGGGGATTTTCCGTCTAGCTGCTATCCCTGCCCTTGTATGTCACTGTCAGCGGGAGCCAGAAAGAGGTGGCCAGAGGAAGTGGTGCCAAGATGCAACTCCCAGGCATTATCACTGCTGCTATTTTTAATTTATCCTGTCTGTGCCATGTTGATGAGATAATAGGATAGCTGTTTTGCTAGGCAAGCTGTATTTTTTTAACCACCAACATCTCTTGCTCTGTCATTGTTTCCTTGCTTTAATAGCCCTTTTTTTCATGAAGTGCCTCACTAATTCCCATAAATATGGGGGGTGAGGCACATACTGGAGAAACTTTAAATGGTTGCAGTGGAAACCAGTGTTGTAGACCAGCAGTGTATGGACTGGGAACTGACCGCTTGGACTGTGACTCACAGCTGCATCACTCTGAAGAACCATATCCAGCAACGGCAGTATTTGTCATGGGATGGCTCCTCCTCCATGGGTTGCTGGTGGCTCAGTCTGGAGGGTGCTGGCCCCTTAGGCTGACTTCTGTGGGAATCTTCATATGCTTTATATGGGGCATGTTGGCACTTTGCTGGTCCATAGCTGGAGACGAGGCTCAGCACGCCGTACAACAGAGCCCGGATACCACCCGCCAGGTAGACCTGCCTAGGCATTAGTTTCTCTGGCAGCAACAAGAATTGAAATATTTCTCTAAAATCCAGTAACAATCCAGAAGGGAATGAAATCCTACTGGCAGGAGCCTGCCTGGAGAGCTGAATGGAGAATTACAGCCCTATGAAAACACTTGGAGAATGTTGGCTGAAGAGCTTAATAGCTAATTAATGCTCCCTGCAGTTTCACAGGCTTTGCCACAGCAATATGCTCTTACAGGAGCTGTATGTCCTACCCGGTGCTTTGGCTTCAAAATCTTGAGAATGGAAACACAAATGGGGAGCCAGTGGATATTCAGAGGAGGACCATCCACTCAGAGCAAGGAGAAAGGGCAGCCCTTCTGAAAAATGAGGTCACTGGAAACACGCCCATGTTCATGCAAGGTCTGTTGCTGAGCCTGAAGCTGTTCCAGTCAGGTGCTCTGGCCAAAAAACACTGCCTTCTCTTTGGAAAAGCAGAACTGCAAATTATAGGTGGGCTTGAACCAGAAGCTGGGATCTCAAAAATCACAGATGTTTCTGGGAATATTTGATTCATGTCCAAATTTTACTGCGAGTCTCCACTTCGCTATATCTCGGGACTGAACGTGTGAGGATGGGCTCAGCTTCCCCTGGAGTTCAAGTTGTGTGGATCCGGAGTCCTTCCTTATTTCACCTGTACAACTACTACTTTGGCCTGAGACTAAGCCATGTTTATTTGACAGGCTGAATTCAAGCTGCTGGTTACAAGCCTACATCCCGAGAGGTCCTTTCTCCCGGAAGCTGCAGAATCCTCTCTGCAAACCTGGGCAGCTTGGCTCCCCAGAGCAGCGTGGGGTGAAAAGTCATTTAGGGTATGTGACTTACAAGAGAGTTTAAGAAAGTAATTTCTCCCAACTTTTTGTCCCGTGATGTCTTGTACCATGCAGGTGACCACAGGAATCCAGAACAGCTGATTTTATGTGAGAAAGCTGATTGCTCCTTCCTGGAGCTCTCCTTCATGGTCCATTTTTTAGACAGTTAATTGGCATCCCTGTTCTGTGAGTAACGAATCAATGGCACCCAGATCTTAGATCACAGCTTCTCTGGCTTCCTCCTTGCTGCTCTGCACCCTTCAGAGGTTTTGAAAAGGCGGTAAAAGGAGAACAGGGAAGGTTGTCCAGAACTGCCGATCTCCCTTCACTGACCCCAGAATTATTTCCTGAAACCCTCACGGAATAAGGAAGGATGCCACTGCACCTTTTAACTCACTTTATTTTCCTGACAGCGCTGTCGCTTTGCTCAGGGGGGCTGAGGTCTCTTGGGGTCCTGCCGTCCTCTTTCTTGTGGCACAGGATAGGGGGTGCTCTGTTTTTCAGCGTTAACATGTGGAGAACGAGAGCACCTGAGGACAGCCTCACCTCTAAGCCACGCGGTGCCCTGGAGGGATGTCCAAGATTGCTCCCAGTTGGATGGGAATAACTGGATTAAAAAACCTCCTACCAGCCCAGTGGTTCGCCCCCCAGGCATGTCCCCTCTCTCCACAGGCTCCCAGTGGCACACGGGTGGCTGTGCCCCTGAGCTGGAGCTGGGCTGGGTGCGAGGCAGAGGAGAGGCCGGCGGTGCCACTGCCGTGGCAGGCTTTCGGGCTGGCTGGAGCTGCGTGTCCCCCGTACCCCGCTGCCAGGGATGAGGGGGGATGAGGTGCTCAGGAGCAAAAGCAACCTGTCCCCAGGCACCGCGCTGCAGGAGCTGGGGGGCCACCGTGGTCACAGTCGTAATCCCACTACCAGCTCGTGGCCGGTGACTAAATAACCCCGAGTCAATTTTAAACTTTCCCAGCACACGAGTTCCTTTTCAGCAAGATGACGTGGCCTCCTGGGAGGCTCAGGCACTGACGAAGCAGCCGTCTTGCTGGATTTCCCCTCCTGCTGCTGACACAAACCACTGCTTCCTTCCCTGGCAGCGGGTGGGGGCCTCCAGCCCCCTCCCTGCCCTGTTCCCTGGGGCAGCATCCCCAGTGCCCCTTCAGCCCCTGGCAGAAATACCAGCTCCCCAAACCATTTTTGTGCTCCCGATCCCTCACACTCCCCAGGGAGGGACAGTGGAAAAAGCTGTCCCAGGTGGTACGTACTAAACTCACTGAGAGGCCTTGCTGCGGCATGAGGTCGGGGAAGAAGGTTTCAAGGCTCTTGACAGAACGTGGCCATCACACCTGGGTGGCACTTGGGCACTGTCACAGTTGGTCCTGCTCTGGGCAGAGGTTTCAGAGAAAACTGCAGGCACGTGGCCGCCCTCCATCTCAGTTAAGTGTTGATTTTGTGTTACACTGGGGAGAGTAACTGGCTGCTGTTGAAAGGATGCTAACGGCTTTCTGAAAGCAAACACGTTACATGTGCTCTGTCAAGACAGCGGTGCTGCCTCTTCTCCTGAGCGGGGGGTGAGCCCCGATCAATCAATTAGCACCGAGTAACCAGGAGGAGGAGAAGGAAAGCTGACTCAGGTAACGTGTCCCTGTTCCCTGAGCGCTGGAGCAGAGTGCTTCAGGTCACGGCAGTCCTCAGTGGCAGCCTCAGACATTTGGGGTAGAGCTGTTCCCGGCTGCTTTCAAGTAGGGAATAAGCATGAGAAGCGTCGGGGCTGGGCAGGGGGTGCTGTGGGGGAGGAGGGGGTGGGGAGCAGGGCTGGGGGGACAGGGACAGCCCCCCCCCCCAGGGAGCTGGTGCACAGGGCTGCCTTTGGGATGTACCTTACCTCAGTGCTCCCCCGTTCTCAGACATTTGCACTTGCATCACTTTAATTTCCTGGGTTTCAGCAATCTGACCTGCACAGCGGCAAAGGCAGCGCGGCAGCAGCCCCGTGTTTGCTGGGTTGTTTTCAACGCAGCACATTGCAAACAGACCCCTGAGGTGCCGGGCTGCAGTGCAAAACCGCAGGGGCTCCTCCGGCTGCAAGGGCTCAGCCCGGCTCCCAGAAACCAGAGTTGCGGCGGCAGGTTCGGCCCCGCGTGTTGGGAAGCATCGGATCCACTCTGTGATAGCCCGAGGGCTGGGGATGCGGTTTCATTCAGCGGGGAGCTCTGGTGTGTTTTAGCCAGTTGAAAATGATGGTGTTCCTGGTGGGAAGCGCGGGCTGCGTGGGTGAACGGGACGTGTATACGCACTCTAAAGAGGCTCATGAAGGAATATAGGCAACTCTTCTGCCTGCCCAAACTGAGAGGCTTTGAGAGCCCAGTTTTCACCCTTTTTTTTGGTTGTGCCAAGGCTGGAGTTTTTAGTACAGTATTTTGTCACTTCATTATCAGCAGGAGCAAGGCTGAAGGGTAGTCTTGAATTTGGAGAGACTTTTAGGCCCTGTGTGCAGCAGAAGCCACTTGTACCCGGCCCCTCGGCAGAGGCAGCCCAAGATGGCCCCGCACCGGCTCCCCCAGCACGCCGGGGGCAAGGCTGCTCGGGGAAGAACACCACAGTGTATTTGGTGTAATATTTTAAGCACAAAGATCTACCAGGCTGATATTATCTTCCACGAGGACGTGAACAGATGAAACACGGTGTAATTTATGATTCTTATGTTAAACTTGCAATGCGGATTGAGCATCGGCAGCAGCCCGCAGGTCGGATTGCAGGAGGTGTCAAAGTTTGAGGGATGCTCAAGGGCAGGTTCCTCTTGTTCCTCAGATCTGCATGGCATTATTTGGTGAGGTTTATGTGGAAACCAATGCTTCACCCTCTGTTTCTCAGTGGGAGCGTTTGCCCTGGGCTTCCCCGGGAGCGTCGCGGGGAGGTGTGGGCAGCGACCGAGAGCAGGTCACGAGAACAGCCCTCGCAGGGCCGTGTGTGCCTCCGTCAGCCTAATGAAAGCCTAATAATTAGGATTGCCATGCTCTGTATTTTTAATGATGAGGTAGCACTTTATTTTAGAGGGCAAAAGTAACCTTGTAATTACCTTGTACGATGACTCAGTTGTTAGCCAGTCTCTGACACTGCAGACCCCCTTGGCAGGCTGTCGCGGGGCTACGGGGGCTGGATGAGACCCTGGCAGGTCCCCCAGCTCCGAGCGCCGCCCACGCGGGCAGCGGGGCACGGCCCAGCGCTGCGGTGCACAGCCCCACACACACTGCTGAGCAGCACCAGCCAAGAAACTAACGTGTTTTAAGCAAATCATTTAAGAGAGAAAGTGGAGGAGTGCAGAAGGCAGCCCCGTGCTTCTCATCCGTGCTGCTTTAGCTGAGCCATCCTGGAGGCTGGCTGGTATTTCAGTCACTGAAGAAATTAGTAACTGATTTATGTAACATCTCGTGTGACTGCAGGGTCTTCACAGAGATGCGACTGCGGAGAAGTACGTAAGAAAAAGCTGCCAAAAGGCGACCCTCCAGCTAACGGTGGGAACCACCTCGCCAGGCCGGACGGCACCCTGCCGTCCCGCAGCGGCAGCCGTACCTGCGCGCCGTGGCCGTGCCCCAGCTCAGCTCTGCACGTGAGGCCCCAGCAGCCGTGTCAGCTCATCCTCCCCAGGGGCCTGAGCCAGCTCCCTCCTTGAAGAGGAGCTGCTGGTCTCCCCTATTTCTACAGGCATCGGCTCGGGGCCTGTCCCAGCGGCACAGTGCTCAGCGCCGAGACGTCCTCTCTTCTCGCCCAGGGCCCGTTGACGCCGGCATCGCCCGCCAGCGCCTCTCCTGCAGCCTCTGCCTGGGCGGTCGATGCCCAACAGATGCGGGAGGCTGCGTGTCGCCCGGCCAACTCGCATTTCAGCAGGAGCTGGGTGCTGCCTCCTCCCGCTTTCCTCCTGGCTCGCCGCCGAGGCCTCGGCGGCCAGTTCTCACCTCCGGTTATCAGTTCTGGCGGTGTGGCCGGAGGGACGGTCTCCCCGTGCGTGCACGGGCAAACCTGGGCAGAGTAATGCTGGGACACCAGATACCGCAGCGCTCCCTGACTCTCCCGGGGCTGAAGCTCTGATCTTGGCTGGTCCGTGGGCCACCGGTGGCAGACCCGACGTCCCCGTGCAGGAGCAGAAACCCCACCGGTTCAGCATCAGTAGGTGGAAACACTGAGCAGCAGTGTCAGCTCCCTTCTCAGTAGATGCGATACAGTAGCAAAATCTAAAAAGGAACTAACAAAGAAATGCTTGCAAAATAAAAATGCTTCTGCTGTGAATAGAAATGTTTATAATTGGATTTTTTTCATGTAGATAAGGTTTAGAAAATGTGTTTTGTCAAAGTGACATGCAGCGAGCTCTAGTAGGTGTACCCATTTCAGGATAAAAGGAACAGAAGCCACTCGCTTGATGAACCTGAAAGCTTTCTTAGAATTACAAAAGGAATAAATGATCTTAATCATATTAACTCCTGGGTGGTCGCCTGAATCTTTGTGAGCAGTATTCCCAAATGGCATACTGTTAAGCCTGCACAAAAGACGACTTCAGATGATTTCATCATCTCGTTTTCAGGGGTGCAAGTTATGTATGAGTGTGCTCAGTTCAGTAAAACCTCGGCGCAGGAAGACAACCGCTGCTCTTGCCGGTGAAGGAGCTCCCCGCAGCGTCGGCGCGTCCCGGCAGCCTCCCCACCCGTGTCCTGGAAGGGGTCTGGTGGCCGATGGGTACCGGTTACGACAGTGCTCCTTAAAACTGTTCCTGCTCAAAGCCACAGCAGCTTAGCAAGGCATCTTCCAAGCAGCTGCAATCAGGACATCAACTGTTGAAGCTGCTATACGGTACATCTTTATACAGAATGGAAAACGATGTCTCGATGTACCTTTCCCTCCAGCACCGTGTTTTGAAAGGCAATTTCTCGGGCTATCTTTTGATCTCAGGGGAGTGAGGCCACCAAATTTTGCCATACATTCGTCCAGCAGTTGTTGCCAGTCTTCTTGATTCATGAAATCAAAGTTCACCGCCAAAGGACTTATTGAAATGCAAAATGAATTAGGCTTTTTTTTTATCTTACTGCACATGTACTTTAGGAATCTCGGAATATTATGAACCCCTAGAGACTCCTTTCTTCTCTCTGGTTACCATGGTTCATCTTGACAAGCAGCGATACCCCCACTCGCAGGCAGCTGCTGGCAATGCCGTGAGCTCTGGGGAGCGATTAGGGCACGCGGCAACAGCCCCGTGTTGTTTCTGGAAGAGGTGCTGGAGGCTGAGCACCCCAGTGGGGCTGGGTGAAATGTGTTAAGAAAGAGCATCGCGGGGCAATGGAAACTGAATTAACTCCTCGCTCTCCCTTTCCCATACCCTCTCCTCCAACTAAGCTGGTAGGAGACAGCAAATGCTGCTAGAAACTCTACAATTCAGTTTATTCACTCTGGATCCTGGCCACGTGTGTTGAGAGAGATTCTCAAGTGAAAATGCACTGAGAAACGCTGTGCCCAACATTTATGATCTGAACTTGGTCTGATACAATGTATTGGTATCTCCTTACAAACCTCACTTGGCTTCTATCTCCAGCTCAACGTGGTTAGGGCAGCACGCTACTAAAACCATAATCTTGCAGCAAACGTTAAGGCATCTCATTAGCACATTGTTTACTGTCAAGTAACAACGCAACACAAGGATGAGATCGTCACTGATGAAAACATACATTGTCTATAAACAGAAAGTTCACTTTCCTCTCTCCTTAGGGGAAAAAAAGACAAAGCAATGTGGGTTTTTTACTGTCTAGTCTAGTTTTTCAGTTATAGAAAAAATTGTAAACATTTTTAGTCTCAATAACTATATCTTACACCAGGGTAGAGAGCGTGCAGGGCAGGATTCAGCACTGCATGACCTCTGTTTCATGCAGGAGTGGCTCATGGATGAATCATCCTGGTTCAGGTAATAGATGCTCACAAAACCCACACCTTTGCTCCACGGGATGGAAAAGCCAAGTACTGCATGCAGCTCTTGCAAGTCTGCAGGCTCGAGCTCTATGTGCAGTCTGCAGTTTCCCAACGGGCTGTGGTCAGACGGGGCTGTCCTGCATTCCCCCGGTGTCGACACTGGCATCTTCGTGCCCTTGTGACTGGGGACTCCCATCCAGTAGAAAACAAAGATTGGTTTTTCAGCTGCATCAGTTTTCTGACTGTGGAACCACAGAGACACACACGTAGGATATCCCAGTCCTCCTGGGAAAGAAACACAGAACTGTAACTCTTCCCCTCCAGTGCAAATTACAACTTTTGCATTGATGCTCTTGCTTTTTAATCGCAACACAAGCTTTCTGCCTTGTTGAGCTTCCAGTTCAGTTTCTCTGAAGGGCAACAGCAAGGCCCCTACTGGTTTCAGAAACAGCTAATTCCCGGTCAGGTTCGGGGCGCAGCACAGCAGCAAGGACGGGCCCCTGACACCAGAGACCTGCTCCAAGGGGTGGCTGCACGTGGGGAATACAGCTCCTTTCCTTTGCTTTGCAGTGCAGAACGTGCACCGCTCCGTGCGGATAGCACCAACCCGCTGCGGCCAGCTTTGATTTAACGGTAACAACAACATGCCCAGGTCCTATTTGCAGGTTTCCTGAATGCTTTTTCTGCTTGAATACTTGCTCTTGGCAGCTTTGCATGCCATTTTGCTTTAGTGTTCTGCTTCGTGTGTATGACAGGTTGAAACGTCAAGGATTTATTATCTGCACAGCTCCTCTGTTTATTCAGAGATCATGATTTTTGGCAAGAAATAGCTTCTTGAGGCCCTGGGGTGCCTGCAGGCACTGGGGTTGCTGCAGGCAGGGCCCACAGAGAGGCACCAGCCCCACCAAGGGGTGGCTGCCCTGTTTCCCTGCCCTCCCGCCCCAGCCACATAAGCACAGAAAGAAGCAAAAGAAACCCGGAGGGTTTTGCAGGAGCCGCCTGCTGCTTTCCCTGCTGCTTGGCAGCGAGGGAACCGCTTATAAAAGCAACAGGGTCAGGGATCTCCCTGCTCCTCAAATCGTCGTCTCCAGCCACGCAGAGCGTGCCCTTTCTGGGAGCTGCTCATGCACCTCAGCTCAGGAGTGCTGCCAGAGCTGCCTGTGCTTGGGGACAGGGGCTTTTCAACATATGCAGCCTGGCACTGACGCCAGGGGAGAGGGCAGTGGGCAAGGCTACGTGCATGAAACAGAGCGGGCATGAGTCAGGACACAGAAGGGCAGCTCCTCCGACTTCAGCCATCAAAAGCAAGGGCTCCGCTGCCCATCAACAGGAGAGAAGGGCACCCCCAGGAGATGCAGTTTACCCCGTACCTCCTACAGAGAGGGTTAGTCATCCATGTAAAGGGTCCCTTTCTGTTCTGCTGGCTTTGGAGGGGGCCACACGGATTGCTACCACCCTGCATGTTGAAGCCTGCTCCTGGAGGCAGGTGGAGGGTCCACTCCCACTCTGCCTCCTCCATTTACAGTACCAAGTCCAAAGGTGAGATGCTTTACAGTTCAGCACCTTGGCCTCTTTTATGGCTTGATGCTGAGGAATACTGTGCCGTGGTCTTTGTGCTCAAAAATGCCCCATTAGGCTGGATGTGGTGTTGAATTTGGGGAGCCCAACACCTTTCTCCTGCTACGTGACCCAGCACACCAGATGCCTGCTGTCATGAGATAAATAATGATACTGTCCTACGAGCTAGGCAAAAGAGAAAGATTACAGGTGTGTCTGGACAGAAAATACACACGTTGCCACTTACTAAGAGAGCTCGAGTTCATTATTTGCTACGGAAAATGGAGCTTCAGGGTGGATTGTCAACAGCACTTACTCACAGGTGCCAAGGCTTTAGTACTTGGGTCTCTGGACAATTCTCCACTGAGGTTACACAGCAGATGGAGCTGCCAGGCAGTCACAGAGACGTGAACTCCAGCATCACGTCCAGCCTCTGGAGGAATTCTGCAGATGCACTGAACAACAGCTGAGAGCATCGGATGCCCCAGGGCATGTGTTTTGTATGCCTCTGTAGAGCCCAGCACAGAATCTGCTGCCATTATCAACAGCACAAACATCTCCTGAGAGATTTCCCTCTTCTCTCAGGTAATTCTGCATCTTCTGGCAGTTCTGAGAAGCAACAAACCCTTCTCTCCGTGCTCCCTCTGTTACAGAATAGCCAAGATTTCTACACAGCATCCTCAGGCTTCTCCATCAGAGGTGTAGCTAAAGGTGGGCGTTAGATACGTTCAGCAGTAGCTCTTAAGTAACTACAAAAATACTTGTTCCTCCATCAACAACTTCAGCAACATTTTCATTTTTCAACTGGTAGATTTTACTTCTTGGTGTAATACGCCACTGAAATTGCATTAGAGTATCTGATAGCTTCTTGATCTGTTTTATTTTTTTTAATTGACTTTTATCTTCAATTGCATATGGTCTTAGCATAAGGAGTTGAAGTCTATGATACAACTGGAAGCCTCAGCACATGCCACATGAAAGAAAAGGCATAATTAAAGAGAATCTAACATCACAAAAAATAGTACAGTCCATTCTGTAGGGCTAACTACTAAAAGAAAAATGTATCATCAGAACGTAACAGACATTTCTTGAATCCAGAACATGTCATCTGGCCCATCTCTCTTGGACATCTTATTTCCTCATGAAAGATACTTGAGTCTTTAATTTGTCCCAGGAACCCTGTTAGGGAGAGCGTGATGTAGCTTTTACTCAGTATGTGGTATGAAGTCTACTCCAAATTCAGCTTATATTTCCTCAAAAATATCTGTGATTTTCTATAAGGTTTAAATTACATCTTGAAGTTTCTTGTTTGAATGTTTTAATTAAATATTTCAAATTCATGCAACAGATTTTTTTAATTAAGTCGAACCTGGAAGCCCTGCAGATTGAAGTCCATTTTTTAGCCAGGGAGTAGGAGCAGGAGCAAGGCAGGTAACCACCTTGCATTTCTCTGCCAGTGTCTCAGCTGTAACAGGGACAGCTTTTAGGGACAGCGAAGAGTTTAGGCTTCCTCATTATCCTTCCAAGAAAATGTAATTTTCTATTATCATACCACAAAGCCTAGAGAGCACCAATGACAGATGGTGTAATTGCAGCAGAGAAAGAGCTGGCCTGTTTGGTTGGCCTTTGATGGATGAACTTTGTCATCACCGGTCTGCACCGGGTGCCTGCAAGGAATCTGTCCGGCTCCTTGGAGGTTTATCTCTCACGATGCTTTCTCAAGCAGAGGAGCAGCTGACAGGCGGGTGAAGAAGGTTGGTCACATCATCTTCCCAGGTTCAAAC